ACAATATACACCAATATTTCTGGCTAAATTATTTTTATAAATGAGGAATGATTTATTACATTCCTCCCTAGTTCCCTTCTCAACACTCTAAAAGCACCACCAGTAAATGTCAAAGTTTTCTTTAAAACTTTGTATTTCCAGTACAAACTGACAGAAGGATAAATTTGAAATATAAATATTACTTTAGGGTAAAGTTGTTTACTTATTCATATTTGGTAGTTTTGGAAAATATGTGTAATTTTTGAAAATCTATGTGTATTCCTTGTTTACATTTTGCCAAATGAATGTAACTTTTGAATGTCTCTTATTTAAAGTAAGAAAAAAAGTTTGGTTCAAGAGACTTGCTACACTGATTGAAATGGCAAGCATTTCACAGAGATGTCAAAACAGGAAAACTGGCATAATCAGCACAGACAGCACAAGAAATTAACAGCTAATCTTTCTGATAAGACCTATTAAAGACCTATTTTCAAACTAATCTAGAAAGTTGTATGACTCAGGGCTTTTGCAGTCCATGAGTAAACATTTATTTCCCTTAAGAAATATGGAGAAAGTCATTTAACAATCATCATTTCCCTATGAAATCAGGTAACTCAGTTTTCTAGCCGAGTTATAATTTTTACATATAGCACTTTGATTAGTAGCGCTTTAACACTAACCATGCAGCTAAAGACTGTAGTTTACTTTGCAATGCAGACATCTGCATGTCCAAAGTTGTTAAAGGATGTCTGTTTGTCCCTCAGTGGTCTCAAGAATTACTGGGATTTGACCTATAAAAGTCATAAATGGGGCCTCCCTGGTGGCGCAGTGGGTTAAAGCACTGCACTAAGAAGCTTAAGCCACTTCCACCAGAGTTCGATCCCCGCCTGCCCCGGAGGAGATCCACATGGCATGGCAGACATCTCCTGGCCCGCCCGCTGCTCCCCTCAGCAGTGTACTTCATTGATCTGCCTGTTCTGCTCCCCACTCTGTCCCTGGTGAATCCTCTCACCCTCCGCATCTCTGGCCTGTACCCCAGTTCTGTATGAATAATAAATCTTAAAAAAAAAGTCATAAGTGATGAGAAAGTTTGGGCTAAGGTTCAAATTTCTCACAATTCTATTTTCTTTACCTACTAGCTTCAAGGTGTTTCTGCATATTGATGCTATTTTGTAGGGACAGGGTCAAAAAGCAAAATAGTAGAAGATATAAAATCAATGGAAAAGAATGGGGAGGGCTGGTGTAGAAAGGGTAGGAATGAGACATGTAATACGCGGGAGTGGGTGGGGGATTATTGCCAGAGTGGTATGAGACAGAGAAATAAGAAGCCTAAGAGCAGTTTTCTTGTGGCTCTTCTCTCTTTCTGGGTAGAAAGAGTTTGGGGGAATCATTTCATAATTGCCTCCTATCATACAAAACCACTTTGCTTTTTAGAAGATAGAAAGCAAACAAATCAAAGGGTGAACAGTAATACTAGTGCCTAATAAACTTGGGGCAATCTCCGAACTTCACACTGTGTTTTAGTGTGCAGTGAATCTTGCAAACTATCTGTACAACTGCCATCGGCCCACTTAGGTCATTGTGTTTTCTGGCCCTCAAGAGTTGTTTCAAGATACCTTGGTCCTCAATGTTGTATTCAACCTGAATGTCAAGAACTTGGAAAGAAAGAGCAGAGTGCCATTCCAGTTCAACTTTAAGTCTAAATGGAAATGAAAACAGGAAACAACAGACTGCCATATAGATGTTACCTTCTTTCCTTAAATGGGGTACTTATCAAAAAAATCAAAAGCTAAACAACTCCTAGTTAAGCTAAGAGTAACTGTGTTGAGAGATCTTTGCTACAGATTGAAAGTACAGAATTTCTCACTTAATAATTGTTTTGTTTATCCAAATAAAATGCTTGCAATTTCACAATTTACTATTTCATATAAGGATGAACACAGAAATTAAAAATTATCTCAATTTGAAGACAGGAAGAAGACACAGAACAACAATATGCTTTCATCTAACAAATATTTCTTGCTGTCATGTGAATCCAGTCAAAGCACCACCAGATACTGTCAGAATTAAAGATATCCCAAATGTCTCAGTGTTAGAACTAGCAGGATCCTGATAATTGAGATTTGGAAGTAAAGGGGAGAACCTGGAACCTTACTGGGAAAAAAAAAAAAAAAGTATAAATACTTTGTTCAAGGACTAAGAAAGTGTCAACCACAAGGCCCTGACAGATCCAGGGAGAGCACTTGTCCCCCTTTTGCTGGGACTCATCTTTTTTCAAACACAAGGTCTGATACAGTTCAGGTACTCTGGTGTCCAGCCACCTGCTCCACATTTCCTTCTCAACCATGCCCTGGATTCTTTGGAGAGGCATGTGAACAGCTCGGGGCAGTTTCTGCTTAGGAAGAGATCCCCACCTAGAAAAACCAGGCTAAAGTGGCTTTTGTAGATGCAGTGCAAAGTGTGGTAGGGTCCTGAGCATGATCACACTGAGCAACTTGATTAAATACTGCTTCTTTTGGTCCTATAAAACAAATTCCTAGGCATGCTTGAAGCACAGGTACTCACCAGCTCTGAGATACATTTATTCCCCCACATTTGGAAAAAGGGTTAAAATGTACAAAATAATGGCACTGAACCCCAACCCTTGATCTTTATTTCCTTTTTTTTTTTAAGTGCAGTTAAACTAATGTAAATCTATCTTTTTAACTTTGTTTTAAGAAAGGGCAGAACTCATATTGACCTTTAGAAAATACATTTTTAACAGGTCTCTTTTCTTTGTAATATTTTGCAGTTTTGCACTAGTAAGAGAAGAGAAGGCACTAGTAAGCCAACTAGACATCCTATTCAAGATTCCAGTTAAATGGGTTGGGCTTAAACTTTTATCCCACCACTTACTAGCTGTGAAACTTAGGTTCCAGGCTCTTTACTACTCCTTTCCCGCTTAAGTTGCTGGAACACAGAATATCTTCCTGTGGAAATGAAGGTGAAAAAATGTTTTATATTTAAGAGCTGGCAGTATGGCCGAGAAATTCTAAGGTTTTGGAACCCCCCACAGACCATGTCCAAATCACTACCAATCCTATTTCTTAGCATGATGGCCTAGACGACATCCTTTCTCAAACATTCTCTAATTCTTTCACATATTTTCTTTCGTTTATAATGACCATTTCCTTTTCGCTTGATAGCAAAAGAAAGTCCGTTTCTCAAGATTCATCCTTAAGATCACAGCTCTTCTAATGTCTCCTCTCCCAGTCCCTCCAAGCTGGTAGACCACTACTTGTGTGGGGGCACATACTTTTCTCCTAACCCTTGTGCTTTTGAACCACAATTGTGTTCTCAACTTTCAGTCAACTAGATTGTGTGAAATGCAGTGGTTCTCACATTCTCAGCACTGAGCTTGGTGCCTGGCACTATGTAGGAAGTCATAAAAAAATACACTTAGTGCCTGGATAAAATGGATGCCTTAATGCCAGGACAGCTGGGGGTGGGGGGGGTGTGCTGGGGTGCGTGCATCTGGAGAATTGCGTGCTTGTCCTGGGGTGCCTTCCCGACCCCTCCCCTCAGCGCTGGACACGCCGCAGACACCCAGCCCCTCCCCCTCCCTGCAGGTCCGGTCAGTTTCTGTGCTCCGGGACGCAGCCCCGTAGGGCACCGGCAGGGGGCGGCGTCGTCACACAGCCAGACACTCCGCGGGATACGGCTGACCCCCCCCCCCACTCCCCCCTCCTCACCCCCGTCCGCTCCCACCCCCAGTCCCAGGCACGCAGCTGAGAGACTAGGCCCTAGTAACTGGGCTCCCCCAATTCGGAGGAGACGACTGTCCTCCCAGGATCGGGGGTCACGGCTGCGCAGGGCCACGGGAGATAGTATTTAGCTTCTTCCCCAGCGCGCTCCTCGGCTTCCGTCTCAGCTTCGCGCAGTCTCTGCAGCGAAGCAAAGTTACTTTAGTTTGGAAAGACTCCGGGAGTAGCAGGAATCGAAAGCCAGAGGATGGCGGGGGCTGGCGGGCGGGGGCTTCCTAGCAAAGACTGGCGCGAGCGCGCTGGACAGTCGGTCACCTTGACGTTTCGTTAGCTCCGCAAAAACGACGGAGGCTGAGGGGAAGACACTCTTAGCTTATAAACTAACAATTGTACGTTTCGTGGGAAACTATATTCACACAACGTTTGTATTCACTGAGCAACGCAAACCTTAGCGCGCTGGGGCTTTTACGCTTCGCCTCCTGGAAGTTCCCTGAGAGCCGGCGCCGCGACTCTTGAAGTCGCACAGTGGCCACGCGCTCCCCACGCCGCTCCGGTGCCGCCCAGGCCCGGGCTGTTGGGTGCTCGCCCCCGGGGCCTCGGGACTAGCCGGCCGGAGCGTCCCCTCCGTGACGCGCACAGGCGGCCGACGCGCTCCCGCCGTCCCGAGCTGCCCGTGCGCGGGGCCGAAAGCCCCGCCCCCGCGCTCCCTCGGGCTCGCCTCGAGCTCTCGGCGTTTCCCGAGGTCTGGAAACGGAAACTCATTGCTCAGCGAACCCTGTCCCCCGCACGCGGAGACCGATTTGCGTGAGCAAACGGTCTCGCCAGTTCTCAACAAGCCCGGGCTATTCATGAAGTGCGCGGTGTAAGGAGGTAGCGAATACCCTCCGGAGCGCCATCATGGAGCTCTCAAGACTCGCTGTAGTGGGCGAGAATTGGACGTTTGGGAAGTTTCTATAGTTGCGTGAATTTTGTCGTGACCCGGCTTTGAGGGCCGAGTATAACTCGTGAGGCATTTTGCGTCCTTGCTGAGAAAGAGCCGTGGGCGGAGGGGCACACACGCAAAAGATATCTGGCATAAATAAACGCGCGTGTGTACCCGGGCGCGCGCGTGTACACATACGCCCCCAGTGTGGCGCTAAGGGGAGCGCTCGACGCGCCGCACACACGGCTCGCGCAACTCGGCCCCGCTCGGTCAGCGGCAAGGGGCGGCGCCCTATGCAGATGAGAGGGTGTGGCGAGCGCGCCGCTCCAGGGCCCCGGAAGCGCCGAGAAGCCCAGTATAAAAAAAGTACTGAAGACAAACCCCCGCACAACTGCGAAAGCTCCAGAGACCGGAGCGTGTGCGGCGGCGGCGGCAACGGGAGCCGCCACCTCCGGGACCACCGCAGCGACAGGGGCTGCGGCGCGGGCGGGGCCGAGGGGCGGGAGTGGCCTGAGCGGGCGGCCGGGTCTGGGAAGGAGTAAATCGCAGACAGTTGCCGGGAGCGCACTCGCAGCTCCCGAAAGTATTGCCGCCTCGCGGTTCCTCGCTCGCTGCGCTCCTAGAAGGGGCGGCCGCCTCCAGGTGACACAGACGGGACTCCCGCTTGCGCTTTCCAGATGCATCAGAGATACTTTTGGTGCGGGGCTGCTCTGCGGGGCGCGGCGCGCGCGGCTGGGACCTTGAAGGTCTGGGGAGGGCAAGTCTCTGAGGAGATGCGGGCGCCGGGCGGCGAGCGGGGAGCGGGCGCGCTCTTTCCCCGTAGGGGCACTGCGCGGTGCCACGCGTCCTCACCGCGCGCCTTCCTCCTTTTTCTTCCAGGACTGACCAGGGCCAAGTGGCATTCGGCGGGCACTTCATGGCGGAAGGCGAGGGGTACTTTGCCATGGCCGAGGAGGAGCTGGCCGTTGGCGCCTACATCCCCCTGGGCGGCGACCTGAACGGCGGCGACCTCGGCGACAGTGGCGGCGACCTCGGCGGGCTCTGCTTGGACTATTGCGACAGCCCCACGGCGCACTGCAACGTGCTCAACTGGGAGCAAGTGCAGCGGCTGGATGGCATCCTGAGCGAGACCATCCCGATCCACGGGCGCGGGAACTTCCCCACGCTCGAGCTGCAGCCCAGCCTGATCGTGAAGGTGGTGCGGCGGCGCCTGGCCGACAAGCGCATCGGCGTCCGCGACGTGCGCCTCAACGGCTCGGCCGCCAGCCACGTCCTGCACCAGGACAGCGGCCTGGGCTACAAGGACCTGGACCTCATCTTCTGCGCGGACCTGCGCGGGGAAGAGGAGTTTCAGACTGTGAAGGACGTCGTGCTCGACTGCCTGTTGGACTTCTTACCCGAAGGGGTGAACAAGGAGAAGATCACGCCGCTCACGCTCAAGGTAAAGCCGCCGCGGGCGGGCCGGGGGCGGCGGCGGGCGTCGGAGGGCGCGCGCCAGGGGCCGGGCGGCAGCGGACGCGCTTGCTCGCTTGCTCGCATGCCGCTTTCCGAGGAGTGAACTAACGCGCGTGGCCGGGGTCGTTTCCGTTTGCTTGGTGCTTCGGCGCCGCCTCAACTCGTGCCCGCGGCCGCCTCTTCCTTCTCTTCTCCTCTTCCTTCTCCGTCTTCAGCTCTTGGCTTTCCTTGCTTGAGTGTTGTCCACAGTCGGTTCTGGGAGAACAAAGTGATGTCAGTTGGTGTTTTGAATCATGTCATGAGCTAGTCTGTGGGAGAGAAGCAGCCCGGAGCGGAGTCGCTGGGTTTATTATTGTATCGGAAAATGTGAATAGCGGCCTGGCTGCGTTCAGCTGACTCCTTGTGTATGTGGAGGCTTCTGGGGTGGTTTCCTGTGTTGAGTGAGGATCAGGATTTGAAACTACACGCTCCCCCCCGCCCCCCCCGTTCAAAGTCAATTTATATGATTACTTAAAATTGTCTGAGGAGTCAGTCTCTCACAATGACCCGGTTTAATTCAGGTTTGATTGTCAACTGTGGAGTGTCCCTGTAGGGACGTCCAGGACACCAGTCACAGTGGTTGCCTCAGGGGGAGGGGAAGTGGGTGTCCAGGGATAAGGCAGAGCAACTTGTTGCAGCAGCGTGCCCTTCTGTCTTTTGAGCCTTGTGTGGATAGTGTGTGAATATTGTACCTTTTCAAAAAGTAAGATCGTTTTGCAAAAAAGTATCATGCTAAATATCAGACACGGCAAAGAAACCTCTTAGTACTCTGCTACGTCGGCCAAAAGCCTCAAACTATTACTTCCAGTCTCTTCCCCAGACGGTAAACCTACTCGTTAAATGTATTTTTTTTGTTGTTTGTTTGTTTGCTTTCAGAAGACTAGGTAATGTTTTGCTGAAACTTGACAAAAGGGAAGGAGCAGAATAATTCTCAGCTGTGACGAGGATGTACTTATTTACTATTTTTTCTAGGTTTTCTCATCTTCTTGTTTTATCTTTTAAATTGTAGGAAGCTTATGTGCAGAAAATGGTTAAAGTGTGCAATGACTCCGACCGATGGAGTCTAATATCTCTGTCAAACAACAGTGGCAAAAATGTGGAACTGAAATTTGTGGATTCCCTCCGGAGGCAATTTGAATTTAGTGTAGATTCTTTTCAAATCAAATTAGACTCTCTTCTTCTATTTTACGAATGTTCAGAGAATCCAATGACTGAGACATTTCACCCCACGATAATTGGTGAGAGCGTCTATGGCGATTTCCATGAAGCCTTTGATCACCTTTGTAACAAGATCATTGCCACCAGGAACCCAGAGGAAATCAGAGGGGGAGGCCTTCTTAAGTACTGCAACCTCTTAGTGAGGGGCTTTAGGCCTGCCTCTGATGAGATTAAGACCCTTCAGAGGTACATGTGTTCCAGATTTTTCATCGACTTCTCAGACATTGGAGAGCAGCAGAGAAAACTGGAATCCTATTTGCAGAACCACTTCGTGGGATTGGAAGACCGCAAGTATGACTATCTCATGACCCTTCATGGAGTGGTGAATGAGAGTACAGTGTGCCTGATGGGACATGAAAGAAGACAGACTTTAAACCTTATCACAATGCTGGCTATCCGCGTGCTTGCTGACCAAAATGTCATCCCTAATGTGGCTAATGTCACTTGCTATTACCAGCCGGCCCCTTATGTAGCAGATGCCAACTTTAGCAATTACTATATTGCACAGGTCCAGCCAGTATTCACATGCCAGCAACAGACATATTCTACTTGGCTACCCTGCAATTAAGAATCACTTTAAATGACCTGTGGGGAGGCCATTTCAGACAAGATAGGTAATTTTAAAAAGAAGAAGAAATGGCTGAGTTGATCCAGCCTTGATTAGGGATGTGTTTTGTGCAATGGTAACCTGCTCCTGGTTTTAAGCTTGGCAAAGCTTGTGGACCTTTGCATAGGTATGGGAGCATGACCTCAAAATGATCCCACCTCCAAAACCCTCCCATCTACAATGATTCTCCTATCTGATTGGCTTCTGTCTTGAAACAAAAGAGACCTGGTTTTAGAAGTAACCAGGTTCTCCAAAAATATGGAGGGAAAATTGCTTGATGACAATATGGGCTTGCAGTACCTGCTCCCATAGCTTTGCCGTAAGAAAAAAAAAGAAAGTTGAGAGTTTCTTATAATCTGGAATTCACGAAAGGGAAAATACAGGGAAAAAAGATCTCTTATTAATTTGGGAGTACATGGTGACAATACTGGAAGAAGGGAAACTCCAACATTGCGGTCTAAGACTTGTAGCAAGTGCTTTCCGTGAAACTATCCTAGTGTGTTAACAGAAATGTCGTGCTCTGAAAGAACAGTAGTAAGTTGGTGCAGTTCTCATAACAAATAGCAGAACTTATGATGACACAGTCCAGTATTTCCAGCTGCGTGCATAGCTCACATTTTTAAAATGTGAAAATGCAAACAAAAACAGCTGTAGCAAAGAAAGTATGCTCAAGGACCAAAGATTTAGCAGATAAAAATACCCAAGTAGAAGAGATAGAGTAGAATATATAAAGAGTTACTATATTTGTTACACACCAATATACATCAAAAGTGCCTGTTGCCTTCTGAAAATTTCAAGTGGAAAATTTTAGGATTTAGTGATTTTATTTTATCAGGGACTCAAAAAGAAAATATAACAACACATAAGCTTGTGAATGGTGGAGGAAATGCCCTATTTTTTCTCAACAAACACCTGTATAAAGTTAACATTCTTGGTGTGATGTTATTGTAGGTACGTGTGTATATTTTGTGTGTATGTATACATATTTTTGATATGTATATATACATACATGACAATGACTATGGTCTAGAATAATGTAGCAAATAGAAAATGTTTAAATACTATGTACTTTTATGTTTTCAAAAAGATGACATGAGACATGGGCATATTGCAGTGATGAGTTAAAACCATATCTAAAAAAGTTAAAATAAATGAAAGAGGAAAACAAGTAATATATTTGATAGAAAGACCAGAGATTATACATTTTTAGTGAGTATTTCTCCTTTTTTTTGTGTGTGTGTGAGCCATAGAATTCCACTGATAGGAGACTATTTGGTAGAGCCCTCTTTTTATATTAAACTGCCATTTTGACAGTTTGAACCCTTTTATTTTTTGTAATAACTTGCATGCCTCCATGGTGTATAATCCAGTGGATCTTGGATCAGTGAGAGTCTGTTTAAATCCCTGACTGCTAAAACAAGTTTCTGGTGATCTGAACACTACTTGTTAATATTTAAATGAATTTTTAAATGAATGCATTCTGCATTCCAGGACCACTAGAATTTAGTAAATGTGAAATAACCCTTTTTAAAGAGTATTTGCACAATTGCTTAAAATTTATATATGAGATATATATTATATATAAAATTTTATAAATTCATGCCAATATAAAACATCTTTGATCTGGTTATCACACTGCATTTAAATATTTAGTACTGTACTTTAAATTCATTCACTTTGCATTGAATCAAATCCAACTTTATTTTTTCTTTCTCAAAAGACCAGTTATATATATCTTGTGAAATGAGCTGGCATTACCATTTTAGCTAATGACAGCCAACCCTAAAACCATCTATCTCCAACACCTTAATTTCTTTGGACACCAATCTCTGAAAATGCATGTTAAAAACAATACCAACATATAAAAAAACCCTTCCCTTTGTATTGTGAAACAACCACATAATCCCTACCCACTATAGTAGAAGACTGCTTACTATGATAATTCCTCTAGAGAACCAAGCAGATTTTTTGTCATCAGTGAAAGAGGGATTGGGGAAGAAAATAGCATCATTCCATTGGCAGTGTAATTTGTTTTTTATCAAGGCATCCCTGAGATGCTCAGTGCTAGGTTAATCCATCCGAATTTACCTTTTGTGCATCTGTCTTTGAAGTCTTAACAGAAACTTGATGGGTTTGCTGTAGCAGCTTCCCTGTGAATTCTGCCTGAGCTGTAACAGCTACTGCACTGCCACTCACTGTTTCCTAGGAAAAGAACTCATCCTTCTCCCATGTTGGCTTGGTCTCCCTCTCTCAAGCCCTGGGTTTGAAAATTGTGAATTCCTTGGAAATAAGTCCATTTGCAGATTAGGCTTAATACTTAACTGTCAAAAACCAGAGCTCAACCTGCTCACCTAGAAGTTTTCTGAAAGAAAACTAATGGAGACTGGGGACCTAGGAGCAACTGGTAGTGTTTTCTTCCTTCTCATCCTTACTGTTGACAAATGAGTCATCCACTATTTAAAAAAGTATCTGGAGGTCTCTCTGGCTCTGCAACAACCTGCTGTTGATTTATTACACAGATTTTTGTTTGGTGGGACCTTATTTGAAGATATATTTTTCACTTCTTTCCTCAAATATTTATCTTCTTTTTTACTTACTCAAGGGTTAATAGTATAGTTGTAAGAGCCAACTCCTGGCATTCAGATAGAACAGGATGTACTCAAGACAACTTTCAGCATTTACTTTAAGGATTAGATAATTTATTTTTCCTTTGTATGTACTATAGTCTTGTGCATATGTAGTTGAACAAACAGTGGAATATATGTATTTTTTGTGGATGTGTTGCCTAACATTTGAATGTCTGGTGAGAGAGAGCCGTGTGTATAGGTCAGAGAAAAGAAAAGCTCTCAACTCCTGATTAGTGCCTGTGATTTACTTGCTTTTTTTGTTTATCTGGCCTACTGTGCTGTTACTTTAAAACAGGAAGTTTTCTCTTATGGTGACTCTTGTCAACTGTGTAGTCAGGCATGTCAGAGAACACTTAACCTGTGACAATGTCCTTTAAAAAAGTTTAATTTACTTCATTTACTTATAGTTGCCTCAGTAATTCCTACGTCAAGATGGACTTTTCCTTTCCAGAAATGGAATCAAGTATCTGCTCATTTTGGTATTGGGTGGACTATTAAAATGTAACTAAAAACAAAAACCAAAAAAAATGCAAGGATGGAAGAATATTTGTAAGCCAAGCGAAGGAGGTAATCAAAAGTAAACATACTGTGTCTGTCACTCCCTTCTATTTGCTCTTCCTTGGTTGCTTTGCTGTGCATAAAGTTGTTTTCAATGCAGTACTTGTCAAATAAATATTGTGAACTGTTTTGTAAATGAAATGTATTATGTTGAAAGCTGTCAGCAATTCAAAATAAGCTTTTTTTTTTTTTTTTGGTTATCTGAAGAAGTGTATTAAATGAAGCCAAAAAGCAAAAAAAAAAAAAAAAAAAAAATTTCATATATAGCACCTATTTGAATATAATCTTTCTTTAAGATTTCTTATAGCATAGCTTTTTCAGTGCTGAGAAAGAATCTTTATGTAAAACTTTGTTGTAACAATGGCTAACATATAAGGTGAAAGTACAAAGTTGGAAGATGTCAAGGTAACTTGACGAGACTTGCTGCAAAGCCTTACAGAATGGAGGAGGCTCCGCCCACTGGCTGTCTCTCTCTCCAACCTCTCTACAACCATTGCCTGCTCTGAGATGTCCTATTGCAGCAAGCTGCACCGTGGGTCACTCTTTTGGAATATTTTGACTTCAGACTGTCACAGGCAGAAAAGGAGTTGATGGAGAATGTACTCTTAAAAACTGACATGTTTGCATCAGTGCTAGAGGGAACAGATTGTGAATTTTGTTTACAGCATCCAATATTTGGATTTTTTTTTTTTTTGTAAATAAAAAGAAGTTATTTTTTTCTATTGATTTGTGTCTGTTGTCTTCAGTGCCTGTATCTTCTGATTCTCAACCTGTGTCCATGAGAAAAGACAAGAGAGTCCTTGGAGACTAGACTTAAGCAATTTTTCAATTGGAGTACAATATATTAAAATATCCAGCTCTCAGGCAGCCCATCTCTGTCTCACTTAGCTTCAAAAGAATGTAGCTAATGAGTGCCAAACATTTTTACCTAGTATAAACTTAGCATTGTTAAGTGAACCAAAAGTCAGAGCTATGTTATCAGTAGAGATGCATGACTTTGAACTACAGGGCTCCTGTATCCATAAGTGCACCTTGGTTTTTATGAGTAGCCCATGTGCTGCATTCACTGATCAGTGGTTATCTATATTATCTGTTTAAGGCTCTAAGTGTTATTCAAAATGTTTACATTTTATTGGTGGTGGGGATGTGGGTGGGGATGGATAAGTGGAGAGCAGGAATCAAAAGGTAAAGTGGAAGGAAAACAGTTACAGGGCCTAATATGTACTTTGTGTGTATGCTGTTTGCATAGTAATTACCTCTTTTGACTATATTTAAACGTGGGCTCACCTGTTCAGGCGGCATACACTTTCTTTCTTTGTATAACAATTTTGGAAACTTTCTCAACACTAGTAGCATCAGAATTTGGTCAGCCCTGGCTGTTATAGTGCATATTCATGGTTTTTAAAACCATTTAAATTCCTGTTGTGTAGAATGCATACTTGACACTGCATCTATGAAAGAGCTCTTCCTGGTATTCCCTCACATATGAATCATAAAAATACAAGGTGATTATTTGTTTTGATAGTGGTATTTGTGTTTTGTTCTTTACTGCTACATCTTCATGCTTCTACAACTAGTCCCTCACATGTTTGTCACATAATTCATTTTAAACAAGGGTTGACTAAGGACAGTATATATTAAGTTCTTCCTAGGCTTAGATACACCCTATTATTTCTAGTTGAATTACCAGTCTGTACCTAGTTAAGTCTAAAGAGAGGTAACCCATCTTTTCTTTTCTTAGGAACTTCATTTCCTAAAGATTTAGTTCCTTTAAGAAAAAGAAAAACAAGTACAACACCCATAAAACAAGGAAATTAAAATGAGTCTTCAAATGTAAAGTAGAATAAAAACCATTAAAATCATAAAACTTTCAAAAATTTAAACTTCAGTTTTCTTCCCAGAAACAAAATTGAAATAAACTGTATGAATGTCCTTTAGTCTTATATAAAATACAATTAAGAAATGTAGGTGATGTAAAGCTATTTTACAGTTTGTTTTCCAATGCCATCGTTCAAAAAAAAATGTACCCAGGTCTCCTTGGACAAATGGAAAAAAAAAAGGACTGCTTCAGAGGAATACCTGGAACATCTTGTTCCAGGAAGTAAGGATGTGTTTTAAAAAAAGAAAAAGAATAAAAACCTTAAGGATTGGGGGGAGAGGGTTGGGTGAGGTAGGTAGCTTATTAAAAGGACAAGTAGCCAACTGAAAGTGCTCCGATGGTCAAAGTTAGAACAACTTGAATAACTAAGTAAATAGTATTGGGTTATAACCCAAAGTATAAAAGATCCATTAGTTCACACATTAAATTAGATTCTGATTGGATGACTATCTACATGGGGACAAAGGCAAATCTGTGCAGAATTCTAAATAATCTATGCAGATGCTGCCCCCTTAAGGAGGTGGAACTTAGCACACTTCTTAAGTGTGGGTTGAGACTTTCTTCCAAACTGTGCAAAAAAAGGTGGGGAGTTGGGCCCTCCCTGGTGGCGCAGTGGGTTAAAGCACAGCACTGAGAAGCTTAAGCCACTTTCGCATGAGTTCGATTCCTGCCTGCCCCGGAGGAGATCCACATGGCGAGGCAGACCTCTCCTGACCTGCCCGCTGCTCCCCTCAGCAGTGTACCTCGTCGATCTGCCTGTTCTGCTCCCTGCTCTGTCTCTGGTGAATCCTCTCACCCTCCGCATCTCTGGCCTGTACCTCAATTCTATATGAATGAATAAATAAATCTTTAAAAAA